GGGTAACAATAACTCCTACCTGATGGGGTTTTGTGAGGCATAAATAAGACCATGTAAATATACTAGCTGGCATAGTACTTGGCATAATATAGACTCAGTAAATGTTAGCTATTGTTATAATCATTCTGTTTTCTGGACTAGAGGATCTTCAAACTTGCAGAATTTGGCCATGAGAAATGCCACCATACCTGCAGGACTAATGGGTTAAAGAAACAGGAAAACTGTTATTTTTCTACTTTTGGGTACTGCCCTCCACACACTTTCCCTTCCCCCCGTGGGCCTTTATTTTAAGGGTCTGGGTATCCAATGTTTCATTTGATCAATTTCATGCCAATGAAAAAGGAAGTGGAAAACAAAATGAGAGCTGAGAGCTCTCGTTTTTCTCCACTTGTGACTCCGGGGTAACCTTGGGTTGTCTTTTGTGCTGCTAGAGTTTTCTCTGACGAGCTGGTCAAGAGTCAGTCTGCTTACTGTAATGCTTCTCCTGGACTGCACTCCCCAAGGCTAGCAACTTCCAGAAAAGGGCACTTTTTTATGCATCCAGTTGGATTAAGCAAGTTTAATCCAATTTTCTTTGAGTGAAACCGTATAAAATAAATCCTATACAAATTAGAACAAATCAAACCAGTTCTAATTGGTTGACATGAATTCCCACAAGATCAAGCTAGTTCAAATGGAATGTGATTGAAGCAGAGACATAAAATTGCTTCAAACTGGAATCAGGCCAGTTCAAATTATATTAGGTGAGTTGAGACCAGTTTAAATTAAGAGTCATCAAACTGGTCCTGAAGAGATTAAATTGAATCTAAATTTTTTTTTCCCAGTTCAAAATTGGCTCTAATTGAGTTAAGGGGATTAAGACATTTCCAGTTGTATCAATCCATTTGCACTTGGATTAGATAAATGTGAATGGGGCAAAGCAGACTCTGCTCAGTTTGAACCAGACAGACTGGATTCCAAACAGTTTAAATGGAAGCAAACTTTATCAACATAGGTTAATTTCTGAGCTGTCTGGGAAAAAAAAATGCTTTAAACACTGGTGCCACCCAATGCATGTGTCGCAGTGGCAAGACTATAAGTTGCCTGCCAGCATTCATTCTCATATTTTCCTTTACTACTACTACTTTTCTTTAACTACTTATATGGTTGTGGGCATCAATACATCTAGCTACAAAAAAACAAAAACCTACATTTCTCAGTGTCCCTCAGAAGAAAAGTATGGCAAATGAAGAAGCAATGGGCGGGCTTCTGGGAAAGTTCCTTTCTATTTCCTGCTGCCTGAAACGTGGAGGAGATGGCTGGAGCCACCGTGCCCAGATTGCAACCATGAGTGAAACTTGATGATTGAATCTATCTCTAAGGATGGCACAGCAAACATATAGAAGGATCTGGGGTCCCTGACAACATGGGGAGTTACCATCCATCTGTTACAAAAGCCATCAGTGCCCCTCCCAAATCTCCTCAACATTCACTAATCCTGTTGAAGGCTTTAGTTACAAACACCTGTGCTCTCTGCCCGAAGGCTTCCTAGAGCTGCAGAAGCATGGTCGGGATGGTCAGGGAGCTAATGGCCCTGTGATCAGCCCTCAACCAATTAATCCACCAACGGATTAATACCCCATCTTCCTCACCCCTCAGATGGGATGTCTCTGAGGTATGTTCTACACTCTTTCTCAGAGGTCGTGGGCAAGGTTGAGCCTCAGTTGTCCACAGCATTAATTTGCTCACTAATGTTCATTATCCTGGTTTCCCTCTCTTCTCCATCTTGCTTCACCACTTCCCAAACAGTATTTCCCAGGATCACTAAATGAATAGGCTGCTTGCTCTCAGATCCTTGTTCTTGTCTGCTTATGTGGTACCCAAATGTAGTACTCCATATCTGGAGTGTCTCTCTTGGGGCTTCTTTTGAATAAAGAAAAATAAACCCCTCTAATGAAATCACAATTATTTGGGTTTTCTGTTACATGCTGTTAAACCTCATCCTCTCTGATCCAACTAGCAATGTGATACTTCCCTAAGTTTAAGTCCCTTTATGTTACTAGATCTCTTTCCAGTAACGAATCATTGTTAAAAAATCAAAAGGCAGAACAGGAATTTAAAAGTCTTTTGATTGAATAAAGTATGATGACTACTAGAAGAAATATTGAAAATCATATTCTAACTGCTTATTTTTAGCAAATAAAATTTCAACAAATAAACAGCCTCTATATTGCCAACTCTAAAGTAAATCTCAGTTCTTACTTGCCCCTTTCCCAGCATTTGATACAGTTGATCACTCCCTCCTTCCTGATAAATGCTTCTTTACTTGGCCTCGGGGCAACCACTCTCTCTTGGTTCTTTCTCTGCCTTATTGGCTGCTCCTTTTCAGTCTTCTGTGCTACTTCCTCTTCATCTTGAGCTGGTGTCCCAGGGCTCACTCCTTGGCCTGATTCTCCTTTGACTTCATCAACTACCACTCACCCCATCATTCCTTCTGCTCCAGCCACGCTTACTTTCCATGTTTGTTCTTGGACAAACCATGAATGCAGCTTCCCAGGCCTTTGGCTTACCCTACCCTGCATCTGCAATACCCTTTCCCAGATACCCATGTGGTTCTCTCCCTCACTTTCTTAGTCTCCACTCAAATGTTATCTTATCAGAGAGGCCCTGCCTAACCAACTTTTCTCCAATAACACACGCCACCTTCACTTTCATACTCTATCCCTTTACTCTCTTCAATTTTTCTTCAAAATACTTATCATATGACTTAGATATTTACGTGTTGATTGTTTGCCCCACTAGATTGAAAGCTTCAGAAGAGCAGGGACTTTGTCTATTATATTCATTGCATATCCCCAGCACCTAGATAACTGCCTGGAACACAGTAGGCACACTATCAATATATATATATATATTTTTTTTTGTGAGGAAGATCAGCCCTCAGCTAACATCCATGCTAATCCTCCTCTTTTTTTTTTGCTGAGGAAGACCAGCTCTGAGCTAACATCTATTGCCAATCCTCCTCCTTTTTCTCCCCAAAGCCCCAGTAGATAGTTGTATGTCATAGTTGCAAATCATTCTAGTTGCTGTATGTGGGACGCGACCTCAGCATGGCCGGAGAAGCGGTGCGTCGGTGCGCGCCTGGGATCTGAACCCAGGCCGCCACTAGCGGAGCGCGCGCACCCAACCGCTAAGCCACGGGCCGGCCCCTATCAATATTTTTAATGAGTGAATGAATTACAGTTAACTATTTATCAAAAAGTTTTTCTTGACCATTCAATCAAATACCTGATTGGATGTGGCATATCGGAACATTTTAAGGAAAAAAGAATGGAATTTTCAAAGTATCTGGTAGTAATTGTTTTTTTCATTGATCAAGGAACTGGCATCTCTCAAAACAAGGCCCAACAGGAGCTGAGCTATGGCTATCGAGTTTCCCAACGCTTGCCTGGTAGATGATGAAAGGCTAAACGAGGCAAATCCATACTTTGCTATAATTGCTTTTTCCACTTTATTCAAGGTGTTAACTAAAAAACATTATTTAGCTAAAATGCCAACCAAGCCCCATTTACATCTAGAATGTATTGGTACAATTCAGTAAGGAGGAGATGACCAGAAAAAAAAAGTCAACAAGACTAAGTGTGTGCCAATGTTGCTTTTTATTTCATGAAACCCAAATTATTGCAAACATCAATTTCAGGAACATTTTATGAAGACATTAAAATAAAAAGGCAAAAAAATGCAAAACACACACAAATAGCTATCACCAGAGATTGAAGTAATTCAGAGAAAGATTAAAATATGCTTTGACAAATAGAGACATGGAGAAACCACACACCCTAAAATGGCAAATATGGAATAAAAGCAAATAGTACACATCTGCTTTTTACTCTTCAAAATTTAAAAGACATAAGTTAATGATGGAGTGTGAAAAGGTTATTGAATACACTAAGTCTAATACTTGAGCACTCGTCAATCATTTGCCTTCCAAATCAGCTCTAATTAGATGCGTAATCTTACTTGTTGAACTCTGCACTCACACCTCTGAATTCTGTTTATTTCTTAGTCAAAGAAAACTCTCCTAGAAATCTAGAACCAGGATCAGAGACAGAATTAAAATCGTCCACTCCCGGGAGAAATGGAGGAGGTGTTTGTACTGGAAAGGCGTCTAATTCCCAGATTCTCTGCTCAATATAAACCACTTAATAGTCTAAACTGACGTTTCAAAGCTTGAGAAAGGGAATGTTGTATAACCCTGGACTTCATTCTCGTTATTTCCTACAAGCAGAGAGCAAGATAAGAAATGGGCCCCTCACGCTAAAGAAGTACACGGTTAGAGACATGTATATGTAATGTCCACTCTCAGCTAATGACACAAATGATTTTGGGAAGTGAATTAGGACTATTGCATTGATTGAAAGGGCCACACTACAAAGTGTTTGTCTTTTATCTTTACCTCTAATTTAAATAATTTAGAATAGATAATGGTTAATTTTAACTTTTGAGAGTCAACATTCAGCCTGCATAAAAGATACATTTTTATAAAGTAAACATCTATTTTTTACTTTATAAAGAAACATTTTTATAAGAAACTTTATAAAGTAAACATTTTTATAAAGAAACTTTTTTAAGAAATAGCTTTGATATACTCCTGATGCCCCTAAACATTTGTGCTACAGATGCCACAGCTGTATTTTCAAAGACTGGCTCAGGGGCCACTGAGATATTAGATATTGCTTTGCTGGCCAAACATCAGAGTGATTATTCAGTCATTACAAGATTTCACTCAACCACTGGTTCTCAGATTTTACCTTGCCTCACAATCACCTGGAAGGCTCCTTAAAATACAGAATCCTGGGCCCCAGCCCAGAGTTTCTGATTCAGGAGGTCTGGGGTGGGGCTGAGAATCTGCATTTCTAACAAGTTCCCAGATGATGCTGACGCTGCTGGTTTAGGGACCACACTTTCAGAACCACTGCTTTAAACTATTTATTTATATGTTCTTTAAAGAGCAATGAAAACTTAGAACCCAGGCCCCACCTGGTACCTCCTAAACTCTCTTCAAGGCTGTGTCCTAGGGACAATCCTTGAGAAAACCCATTTTCACTTCCTCCTTTATAGCAACAGTAGTGCCCAGGCAGCTAAAGAGTCCTTAACACTATTTGCTTAGCATTTTGGTTTTGCTGGGCCTGGATGGGGCATGCTTCCTATTTCTCACCAGAGGGGCTGCAATCTCCTATGTGTCCCCAGACTCTCGGGATCTGTAACCCTTCCTGGGAAAGGATCCGTGTCTCTGGGGGACCAAAAGCCACAGCTACATGTCTCTACCCAGTAGGTCTATCTCATCCAGGAGGAAGTCCATGTCCTCCCGGCTCACTTGAGGGCTGATCACCACCTGGCGGAAGAAGTTGACGTTCCCCCGGTGGGGCTGGTAGCCCAGCATCAGGCTTCCCTTCTTCATCATCCTCTCCTTAATGGCTGGGGCCACCTGCATGGGTGAGAGGAGGGAAGGAGGTGAAAGATCAGAACACGAAGGCATTACAACTGCATTCTAACCAGTCATTTGATGTTTACCGGCATCCGCTGGTGTGGATCCCATTCTCAGGTACGCAACAAGGTTGACATTAATAATAACAATCTATTGAGAACTTATGGCATATGAGGACTGATTCAAGTGCTTTAGTATATTAATTCACTTAATCTTCACAATAACTCCATGAGGGAGATACTACTAACATGCCCCTTTATAGATGAGGAAATTGAGGTGCATGGAGATTAAATAAATGGCCTAAGTCCCATGTTCAGTAAGTGGGAGAGCCAAGATTTAAAAGCAGGCAGTCTCACCCAAACCCACGCTCTGAAACCTAAATCATTATGCAATGCTGCCTCATTAAAAACAAATCAGGTGTCCTCAGGTGTCATAGTCTCAAAAGTGTCAAATGTTACATTTGCAAATTTGTCTGAACTGAAAACTACTCCAGTTCAGGCATCTTGAATAAAGAAAATAAGTCATAGATGGAAAAAACCCCACAAAATAACACCCTTGCATTGAGTCTACCCAGGAAAACACTAATATGGGTATTATGCGCAGTTCTATTTTGAAGACTAACAGTATATTAGTTTATTAATAGGAAATATGAGAAATATAAACACTCTTTCTCTTATTAAGAGGTGTAAAGTTGGTAACAAAATTAGGAAGCCCATATTTTAAGGATTTCTAGCTAACATGAGAAGAATGGGCCCTGATAATCCAAATGCACAAATTTTTTTAAACATTTAATGTTTGAAGAAATTAGGCCAATAAAGAACCATATGGGAATATCAGTCCATTTTCAAATCAGTAGTGTGACCATCCAAAAACAAGGTTTAAAACTTTTAAAATAGTGAAGTTAGATTTTGAAACGCTGAGTTAAAGAATTAAGAATCTTCTCTTACTGGCTTGGAAATACAAGCAAACGTTTTCCATTTTCATTTTATTTTAACTCTAAAAATTTTCGAGCATGTCCTATGTGAATATGTGGAAAGGAAATATAATGAGTTTCTGTCCTCATCTTCTCAAGAAGACGAGATTTAGCTAATCCAGAAGGGAGGAATGCATGCATAAATAACACCAGGCACAAGGTGCTTTAAAACTCCATAGATGAGGGGCATAAATCTCAGTTTCCATAAGCCTGTCTCATGGCGTGACCATCCCACACCATTCTAGTTTTTAAACATACCTATATTTTGTCAGACACTCCCCTGAAGACAAGCCAAACTACTTCATCTGACACTCAACATAATGTTGATCTGTTCTCAAGCTTGTGGAAACATTGGGTATTTTAGATATATGGAGATCTGATGTGTTGGACTCAACCACAGTCTTCTCAAGGGATGTTTAAGGGTAAATTTAACTAAGTACTTTTTCCTCATGTGCTAATTTTAGAAGTTAAATCTTGTAAAACTTGGACAACTTGGTTCCTACAACAGCAAAAACAGACACCTATGAAGCATAATCACATTGCATTCTAGCAAAGGATTGGAAGTCTCTCACAGTATAATGAAAAGAAAATATACGAACTTTAAAGAAAAATAAATGTACAAAAAGAAGATGAAATCAGAGGTCAAGTTAGTGAAACAATGTGGACCATCAGGTTCTACAAATTTCTAGAAATGTGTCACAAATTTTATTCTGAGCTTTTTAGAGACCAGAAAAACACGATTAAATCAACACCACCTCCATTCTCTTTACAAAACTTAGTGACGAATGTCCATCGGAGGCTGGAAGCTGGAAGCTAGTAGGTAACTCTCTACTATGCCTCTGCTTGTCTGTTTGAAACCCTTGAATTTGAATGCTCCAAGCATCAGCTGAGTTTTCTTCCAAGACTCTTTATGCAAGTACCATTTGTTATTAGAATTATAAAACCTAGTGAAATAATATGAGAAAAATGAAAGGTAAGTGCAAAATAAGAGTGCTTTCCATAAAAACTAAGTTGAATCTTTCGGACAGACTAGATAAAGCAGGACAAACAAAAACCATTGCTGCCAAGTTAGATGTGGTGAGAGAACTGTAAAAGCTTTAAGACAAAATCTTGAGAGTGCAGACTGATTCTGCATACAGATGGCTACACAGGTGCCTGAGACTCACTCCACTTAAAGAAACCTGAGCTGGAAATGACAGAGGATTCCTGAAGAATGTAGTTTATGAGAAAATGGTAGAGGCCCTCTAATCATCAGATCGCTACTCAAGAAAAGCCTCACTTGCTTTTGGAAAGCATTTGGAAATCTCCACTTGATGAAAAAAACCTTTCCATCAAAAGATGGGGAGATAGGGGCTGGCCCATGGCCTAGAGGTTAACCTCAGCATGCTCCACTTTGGCAGCCCAGGTTCAGTCTCCCAGTGAGGACCTACACTTCTCGTCAGCAGCCATGCTGTGGCGGTGACCCATATACAAAATAGAGGAAGACTGGCACAGAGGTTAGCTGAGGGTGAATCTTCCTCAAGTGAAAAAGAGGAGGATTGGCAACAGATGTTAGCTCAGGGCGAATCTTCCTCAGCAAAAAAAAAAAAAGATGGGGAAATAAATGCACATAGATGTTAAAATATTTACATTATGTACACGACATTTTTTTCTAGGATTATTTGCTTTAACTAACCCATCCTCATCACCTCAGGTAGGAGGGCTTCTGGTGTGGATGTGGATGTGAATGGGTGTGTGTGTGTGCACATGCATATATGTGTGTGCTCACGCATGTATATGCAAGTGTGAGTGAGCACAATCACATGTACTTTAAACTTAGAACCCACTATTTTTCAATTATTGCTCTTAAAATCCTTCTATTTGGTCACAGGGCAATGTAGAGTCATGGTTTGACCGGCTCATGACAAAGGCATATTTATTTTTAATTCAAAGAACAAGTGGCCTCTTGAATGTAAACTGAAGGTATGAGAGAAAAACACAATAGTGTCAGTGCTGATCAATATTAGGAAGACCTGGCTCACATGGGACAAATGTCTGGCCAGGAGAGTCACAGACTATCAATTTTAGAGCTTACAGATTGTGATTCTGTAGATTTTTTTTTTTAAATAAAAATTCCCTTCATATTCATCTCCATCCTCCTCTCAGTACCCAGGGTATAACTGGCTCTGGCTTATAGCCAATTTTAAATTTAAAACAGGCATGTTCTTGGCTCAAACCTAATTTGCATTGTCTATTCCTGTTTACTTTTCAATGCCTCTATTTTTCTCCCCCTTTGGAGAGCATTAGAATTTTGATTCCAGCTCATAATGTGTCAGAGGGTCACATGAAACAATTATCAAAATGAGTGTCAGGTTTGCATTTCTTGTAAGCAAACCAAAAATATTTTCTAATGTGAGCAAGAAAGATAAAAGTAAGGGGGCCCCTGGGATGTTTTCATATGAAGATGTTTTTGATCTTTAAATTCTTGCTCTTGTGTAAGGCATGAGAATGTGCTTCTATGGGCAAAACATATGGCATAAGAACCAAATTTCTAAGCCAAATTTTGTCACTGACTTTCAAACATTATAAATAAATGACTAAATATCTATATGACTCAGAGAACCACCTAAGCAAGGGTTTGACAGTACAACACACATTTTATTTATGAATCCACGAATATAAGCTTAATTCCTAGAGATAATTACTCCCAGACAAGAGGGGATGGCCTCCTTTGTCTACGAATACTTCAAAGGGAAAGCAAGCCATAAGCGACACCAAGGCCCGATAGTCATTAAATCTCTGTCACAAATTATAATTGTAGTAGAAGTTGTTGTTGTTAACAAATATTTTACCAACTCATTACAATTTGCAAAGTGCTTTCCCATGTCTGAATCCCATGAACTCAAATTAAAGCTTATTTGAAAGGAACCAGTGTTTTTGCAACTTAGGGACCAACAATGTTCTCATTAACAGCCAGTTTATCACCTTTGCACTTAAAAAAATCAACCATTTCTTATTTATAAAGCTCCAGGCATAATCCAGTGCTGGGTGACTTGGATATTCTCTGTTGCTGATCACAGCGGAAAAGCAGTCCTAATCCAACAGGAGGGAATATTCACAGCGGAAAGAAAATATGCACAAACTAAATGTGGAGATCTGAATATCGCCCCTAAATGGAGCGTGCATGGAGGAAAGCAATTTGGCAGGAGTGAGATTGCGTTCCAGCTCTCAATTATTTTACCGCTGGTTTTCCTTCAAATTGTAAATCAAATTCTTCCCTCATACCTCAGCGCACTGGTCCCTGCATCTTAAGTGGAGAAAGATACTGACATTTCTATTTGGTTGCATAGGAACTTAATTGACATGTTTCTGTGGGGTTGCTGTTTCTCCCCCCTTAAATTATGTCCCAGCAATGATTTAGTCATTTACACAGAATTTTGTTGTCACACCCCTGCAGCATCAAATAGCCTTTAATATTTATAAGTTGATATTTGTAAGTTGCTTAAACCCAAGGGAAAAAAAAACTCTCTCATTCTGGCCAATTACACTAATTTGATAACAAGTAACTGACCAGGCACCATCACAGCCTTTTATTAAAATAAAATTTTAATGTCCATAAAATGACATTTCTTCTTAAAAATGTGTAACATATTTAATGTTAACAGCACATTTTTTTTCAATATGCAAAATGTTTCCCAAACTCTCTGTGAGGCAGTTTATTTTTTCTAATGTATTACAAACACACTTTTGTGAAAAACAGTAAAATTGATTTAATAAATGAAAATGAATTACTACATAAAAATGAAATAAAAAAGACACAAATACATACAAGCCCAATTTGGTTTTTTTATTTTTAAATTCAACAGTAAAGTTACTCTGCTAAGGTTTTATAAAAGTTTCTAAACAGTAACTCTCGATTTCCATACTTTTGTTATTGCAGACTGGTAACACCCAGTTCACGGATCTGCGCAGGGCTGGAGACTCCATTTTGGGGAGTGCTGCTCTGTTTTAACTCTCTTGGCTCCTCGTGGCTGTATATTATTTTAGT